AATTAACATATGATACTAAAGGGTCACACTAACAACAGCTTGATATAATTGATTATTTATTAGAAATTGATTTTAATAAATATGCAATAAACTCTTATAATTAAATTGGAAATTATCTATTTCTAAGAAATAATAATTTTCATTAGCAAGTAACATTACATAATTCATATGGTATGAATTAATAAGTCATGCACAACATTTTGGACTAGATAAATTCTTTTGTCTTTTACCAAAAAGTTAAAGTTTATATTTTATAAACTTGGTTTATAAAATATAAAGTTTTTGTCCTCTTTTGACTTCTTAATTTCGAAATTGAGGAAGAAGAAAGAAGGCATAGTTATTTGATTTATTTAATCAAAAGTATGACATGTCTTAAAACATTGAGTGACAAGAGACAAGATCTCTTTTGCATTAGTTTATGTGACTTCCCCAAATTGACGGTCATTTTAAAAATTTTATTTATGCTTATTTTAAAATCAGAGTATCCTTTTTGAAGAATATTATTGCGGAATTTGTCTCCGAAAATATGGTAAATATATTCACTACTAGAAAAACAGCCTTTTACGACGCGCAAATGCGTGTCAAGGAAGGCCCTGTCATAACGAGAGACGACGCGCTTTTGCGCGTCGTCTATTTACGACGCGCATTTACAACGCGCTCTTACGACACGCAATGCGTGTCAAGGAAGGCCCTATCATAAAGAAGACGACACACATTTGCGTGTCGTAACCTTACGACGCACATTTACGACGCGCATTGCGTATCATTAAAGCCCCTGTCATAAAGAAAGACGACACACATTTTACGTGTCATAAAGTTAAATGTTTTAAAAATTATATATTTTGATAGATTTACTAATTTTCAAATTAAATAACACATTAAAATCTCATAATATAAAATAAAATACCATAAATAACAAAGATAATTCATTTCACTAATATGTCAAATACAAATAATTATTCCAATAGTGAGTAAATGTTATAAAAATATGAACTCAAGAGAAGCAAAATTTATATACAATTGCATTATCTAGCTTATTATGTGTCAACAACTCTCTGTGTGTTTGCTTTTGCTTGAGTCTCATTTCCTCCAAAGCTTCTAGCCATTCCAAAGTATGATATCTTAGGGTTCATGTCCAAATCAAGTAAAACATTGCTAACTTAAATTCATCAAGTCCTTGGCATGAAGTCTTAGGTAGAAGCTTAACTGCAATCTCCAATCCTTCTAGCAGACCCTAAAGATCATTATTGGCCATGTAGCAGGATCAACCTGCCAAAATTGGATAAGTTAAGAATATGCAATAAGATTGGTGAAAAGACATAAATGCCCCTACCTTGTATTCAACAGTAGCAATGTTTTGGCAGGAACTCGAATTGAAGAAGAATTGGAATATATTACACGTTTGCACTACTAGGATGGAATTGGGCATCTCAAAGTCAAACATCCAGGACCATCATTGATAGATATGCTAATGTAAGCTACCATCTTCATAGAAGTTAACCAAAACAATATTAGAACAGAAAACAGAGAAATCGACACCAGGCAACAATGTCTTAAAACCAACTCATCATCGAATCATTGACACCTTGGAATTCAAGCTCAAAACATGTATTTCATGTTATTTGTTTCTGCCAACGCCTTGTTAGATTCCATGAGTGACTGAAACAAGGATTAGTATAAAAATGTTATAATCATAAGTCAATTAACGCAAGAATATTAACAAAATGTTTACCTGTGAACCAGCTTCGGTTACATAAGTAATACAAAATCTTTACTTCATTTTGAGAGATTTTGAGTAACATAGAACTAATCTTAGAATTTTTTATTTTAGAACAAAACCTACACCTAAAACAGTAACTATTAGCGTATCATCTACGCATGTATATATGTTTGTATTTTAGTATAGGCCCAAATCTTTACCTTGTATTATTTAGCCCATATTGTAATTATTTTATATATTAATGAATCTCAAGGCCAATAGGTGATTCATGGGAAAATAACACGCTTTCATGGTATCGAGCTCTTCCATTAAAAAAAAAATTCCTTTTTTTTTCCTTCCCTCTCTCTCGCTAACCCTACGTCACAGGCACCTTCTTGCCGCCAACTAATCTCTTCTTCTCCATTAGAGATGGGCACAAAAACCGGATTCGGGTCTAGGATCCGATCCGATCCGGAAACCGGATTTAGTCAAAACCGGATTTGACCGAACCGGATCGGATTAATCCGGTGACCGGATCCAAACCGGATTCTCGCTTCGGACTTCATATCGGATTATACAGCGGATCGCAAACCGGATCCAAAACCGGATCCGAACCGGTTTTTTTTTCCGTTAAAAAACGGGAATTTTTCAATTTTTTTTTTCCTTATAGCCGTTGGAAACCAAAAAAACGGCTAGTTTGACTTTTCTTGACTTTTTGGCCCTTCTAAACACATATAAATACAAGCCATTTGCTCCATTTCCATTTTACACAAATTTCTACTACTTTATACTTCTATTTTCATAATCTTCCAAAAAATGAGCTCCCGAAATTCTACCGCGGGTCAAGAGTCGGATGCAACGGTGGTTAAAATCTTACCAACCACTCGGAGTAAAGATGTGTGGGAACATTATGATTTGTGTTTGTTGTCGAACGGGAAAGAAAAAGCAAGGTGCAAGCAATGCGGGATGTTTTTGGGAAAAGATGGCAATAGTACGTTGAGGAGTCATACAACAAAAACGTGTCCGGTTGTAAAAGGTCAAGACGATCCGGATCAACCAAATATTACTCCCGACGGTTCGATCTTTATTTACAACAATGATGACATTCGTGAAAGCTTTTGCAAGTTCGTCATTCAAGAGGGCTTGCCTTTCACCACTTCGACAACCCACGATTAACAAGGATTTTGCGGGAAAAAATGCAACCACAATACCGACAAGTAAGTCGTACTTCTCTTAGACGTGATGCTTTAAAGTATTGGGATATAGCCAAAAAAGATATGCAATTGGGATTTTTAAATATAAAAACCGGTGTTTCTTTAACTTGTGATGTTTGGTTTTCCACTGGAACTTGTCCCAAAAGCTATCTTGCCGTCACGGCACATTGGATAGATCCCTCTACTTGGGTAATGAACATACGAGTTATTGCTTTTGAACTTTTTGCGCATCCTCACACATGGGCACGATTATTTGCAATTTTAGTAAGCGTTATAGAGACTTATAATTTACGCGACAAAATCTTCTCTATTTCGTTTGACAATGCAAGTAACAATACCGCCGCCGCAAAAAGATTAATTGCAAAATATAAACCTATTTTGGATGGCTCGTTTTTTTATACTAGATGTGTTTGTCACATTATTAATCTTGCCGTACAAGATGGTTTAAAAATGATTGATTCGACGATTGAAAAATTCAAAACTGTGTTAACTAGAGTTTTTGGAAAAAATAAAGCTACAATGGAAAAATATCGAAAATTTGCCATTTCCATCAACGTAACTCCATATAGTCCTCATTGGGATGTTGACACTAGATGGAGTTCAACATGCATGATGTTTGAAAGTTTGACACGCCAAAGAATCGCTTTACAATTATTTTACGACACAATTTCAAAAGGAAAAAACCCGGTTTCGGATTATGATTGGGATTTGATGGAAGAGTTTGTGGATATGTTAAAAGTTTTTAAACAATCAACCACTTTTTATCGGGCGTGTATTACCCTACAAGTCCGTTGTTACTAAATGAATTATGGTTGATGTCCGCACAATTGGAGCGTTTTGAACAAAGAAGTGAAATATTTGTTTTGGTTACGAGACCAATGAGACAAAAACTAGTCAAATATTTCAAAGAAATGCCACCACTTTTTACTTGCGCCGCGGCATTAAACCCTTGTATCAATGTTACGGGTGTAGAGGCTTTGATTACCAAAATTTCTATGTCTTTAAATTTGCACAAAGATGACTCAAACTACATGCGTAACCAAATACACACTTTTAATAATACTTTTACTAATTTGTTTGACCTTTACGCTACAAAATATGGCAATATGTCAAACACTTTTGCAAGTGTAACCGACTCTACTAGTGGTGCATCAGGTAGTGGTGGGGATCGAACGGATTTTCATATCGACGTCTATAACTACCTTTTGGAGGAACAAAACAAAAGAGCACGCACATTAACCCCTAGTAGCGAACTTGGAATTTATATGGGGTCAAACTTTTTAAAATTCATGAGTGCACCACAATTTAAAATTTTGGATCTTTTGGCTTGGTGGAGAGAAAAGGAAGCGCAATTTCCTATTCTCTCCGTCATGACCCGTGATTTACTAACCGTCCAAGCTTCCACGGTAGCTTCGGAATCCGCTTTTTCTTTTAGTGGTAGAGTTTTATCAAACTTGAGGACGAATCTTACCCCGGTTGCAGTAGATGTTTGCGTTTGCTTGAAGGATTACTTGGATTCGGTGGAACGTATACAACACTTGGCATCACTAGAAGGCCCACTACCACAAAATGTTGAACCGGAGATCATGGATGAAGAATATGCACAAGGCTTATCAACACCTCCGGAAGACGAAGACGATGACGATGAAGACGAAAACGAAGATGAAGAATATGGTATTGATGAGACCCCTAGTTATTTGCGTGGCGGTTGAAGAATATTTTAGTGAAGGCGACACAAAGTGGAAGACCACAAAAACTATTTCTATTTGGCTAAATGTTATAACGCCACTTTATTATTATTATTATTAGTTAACTAGTTTGAAAACTCTTTCTAATTCGACGTTTGATGTATGTTTTAACTATTTTAATGAACCTATGTTGCAGTTTGTGTTATATATGAGCTCCAAAAAATGTTTTTTTTAAAAAAAAAAATAAAAATAAAAAAAGGGTAAATCGGATCGGATCCTAATCGGATCGGATTAAACCGATTCGGATTCGGGGGTCGAAAAACCGGTCAAATCCGGTTTGAAACCGGTTCGGATCCGGATCGGATCGGATCCTGTGTTTGTGCATCTCTATCAGACTCCATCGTCTTCTTTTTCTCTCCTCTTCAATTCTCACCATGTCTGATTCATCGAAGAACCAGAAACCCTTTGGTGTTACCAACATCAAAGTTTATGTCCCATTAATCTTGGATCTCAATCAACTTAACTATTATGCCTGGAAGGAACTATTTCAAACCCACTGTAGCAGTTTTGGTGTCAAGGGGCATCTCACCGGAACCTCCAAACCCGCTGATGACAAGGATGAAGCATGGACACATCTTGATGATCTTGTCAAAATGTGGATTTATGGCACCGTCACACAGAGTCTCCTCAACATGATCCTAAAGCCAAATGCAACTGCTCATACGGTCTGGTCAACTCTTGAAACTCTATTCCGTGACAACCAACAAACCCGTGCCATTGAACTTGATCAGGAACTCCGCACTCTCACCCTTGGCGACCTCACAATCTCTCAATATTGTGAACGGATGAAGGTAATTTCTGACCTACTCGCCAACATTGGTTCACCCGTTCCTGAACACACCTTGGTCACATACCTTATCAATGGTTTGTCACCCAAGTATGACAACATCGCCACAGTGTTGCGCCACCAAAATCCGCCTCCCTCTCTACTCAAATGTCGATCCATCTTAACCTTGGAAGAGCGCACCCTAAACCGCAACCGCCCTGTTCAACCTCTTCACATGGACCATGCTTCATCACCCAATGCCCTTCATGTGGGAAACCCTCCAAACTCTCAAATCCGGGCCTCCACCAACAACAGAGGTGGTAGAAGACATTCACAATCACGCCGCGGTGGCTCCAATGTTTCAGACAACTGCCGCCCACCTGCTGTTGCACAACAAAACCCACCAGGGCTGCCTTGGAATCCTCACTCGGTACCTTGGACTCCTTTCATGTGGCCATATGTTACCTGGCAGCAGCCCTACCGACCGCCGACACAGCAGCAACAACCCCGTCAACAGCCGGGTGTGCTCGGTTCTGCACCGCATCAGACCTCGGGTGCCACAAGTCCACATCAGCAGCATGCAGCGTTTTATGCTGCCCTTCATTCTCCTGGTCTTCTCCCCCCTACTCAGTGGTTTCCACCATTGACCCCGGACCAGCCCACGGACATCACTCAGGCCCTAAATGCCATGCAAATCAATGATCAGTCGGACCCTAACTGGTATATGGACACAGGTGCTACCTCCCATCTCACCTCAGACACAGGTAAACTCGATTCTATTAGCACTAGAAGTCATATAAAACATGTCCTTGTTGGCAATGGTTCACCCATACCCGTTACACATGCCGGCCAAACCAAATTTCCTTCCTCTCATCGTCCTTTATATCTTCGTAATGTTTTAGTCACACCTAACATTATTAAGATTCTGACTAACAAAAACACAACATTTTAATGGGGAAAAGAAGAGTAGAAGAGAATTGACATTTCTACATGATCACAAGATGGACCTATTAAATGTAACTCACAGTTAGAAGATAAACTACATGATATAAAAAGAAATTGATAAATGGATTTTTATGGTAGGAAGGGCATAATTGTCATTCGGACATTCCTCTGATAAACCTAGAAAGTTCACATGAAAGGCTCTCTCAAGAGTCAAGGCTGTGGGCAAGTTTAGTTCCTTGGTCACCGCTTCCAAATTTGGAATATCCCACTGTCAAATCCAAGAAAAAAGAAAATCAATTATTGAAATTACATGAAAGTTTGGGGGCTTTTGCAAACAAAAAATAATTTAGTCTTGTCCGGAAAAGTCAATAAATTATAGCAGGGTAGCACCACTTCCCTGGGTTACAAATAAATGGGGGCCCACAACAGCAGAGCTACAAGATGTGTGTGTGCGTACCACCTGCTTAATGTGTACCGGAAAGGAATGCCAAACATGATTACAAGTCTCCCTTAATCTTGATTACTCACCTGCTTAAGTAGAATGCTGTTGTTGAGAAGGTTACCTAGCAACAGAGAAAAACACAGCACCTCTCCCACAATCACAACATCATTTACAGAAAAAGGGTTGTCAATTACTTTCATTAAGACTTTCATTCAGTCACAAAAATATTAAATAAAAGGGTGAAAAAAAAAATAACTTACTTTTGATAAGTTGATCTCCCTTAGAGCAAACACAGCTAAAGCCTTGAACAAGACCCTATGGCCTTCTTCTAATGTAAACACAATGCTCGTCTGCAAAATTGAAGAGATAAAATAAAATTTGAATATTGTTTGGGTAGTTTATATATGATTTGATAATTTGATTTAAAATACAATAAAATAAATTATCTTTTTTATTACCTTATGGGGCTTGTCAATTCCTGGGATTATAGGTTCTCTTGCTAGTATTAGAAAACGAGTTATGTTATCTAAATCATCCTGAACATTCAATATAACAATTGTAAGACAAAAGGAGAAACGTATATTTGAAAATACTATGAGATATGATTTTTTTAATGTTATCAATACATAAATTAAGCGCAACAAATAGTTGCCTATCTTTTTTAAAAACTTTTATGGGGGTATAATGACCGAAATGCCCTTGTATTTATATACATGTTTATAAATATAACATTAATAACTAGGTGACACCTGGATTGTTTGTGCTAGAATATCAAGCCCTATTTCAGCAGCCCGAGAACTTGCAACTGCTCCAGTGTCTCGTATGCCTTCCGAGGCTACAATCTATTAAAAAAAAAAACTCTTAACAAATTTTAAACAAAGAAAAAAACACAATATTAAAAGTTTAAACGCAAGAATTAGCAACATAGTTTCATTTATTTGTTTATTATAGCACCCTACTTCATTGATCAAGTGCCTGTGTCATCAACATAACTCTACTAAATCACAAACTAGCACTTACTTTCTTACAATTTTACAAAATAACCAATGACATTGATTTTGGTCTACACAGTTCTCCAATTTTGTCTATTTTAGACATCTAACTCATACTTGAAAAAACAAAATCTGTATCAAACTGATAGTTGTCCTGTGCTAAAGTAGTTTCAACCACATCTTATGTCTCAATGAACACCAATTTATGTTGCATTATTTCCTGGACCATACATAATACGTTTCAGTTAAATAAGTTCAATTCCATTCATCACTTAATTTAGCAAACTGATAGTTGTCCTGTGCTAAAGTAGTTTTAACAGAATCTGCCCTTACAGCTCCATGGTACAACACAGTTGACAAAATCAGGACTTGTAACTGCAGAAACAGGGGACCCATTGGCCTCACCGTTTTGCTTTTTGGCATTTGGGCCTATGCCATTTTTACTCATTACTTCAGCAACCTTGAAGGGTGTAATGATTTATGTATCCTATTTATATGCAGACAAGCATGCTAGTATATGAACCTGTTCTCCTGTAAACAAGAAAAAATGTAGTATTTTATATGGATAAGATAGTTAGAGCAGTTATATTCAGGGGAATGTAATTCTCATTGATTGAAATGACAAATTACAGGGACAAAAATTCTCTTCACAGATAAAAAGATTGACCTCTATAGCTCTATGTCTAAAACTAAATCAAAGAAGAGATTTAAGAAAGAATGTGTACCTGGGAAAACAAAGGGGCGATCAAATGCTTTAATAGATAGCATATCTGGTTCTTCATTCCAACTATCAGGAAGTTCCTCTGCAAAAGTGATGAGCACCAAATGACTCGAATCCATAGATGTCAAGAATACTGATTGATCTCCCTGTCATGTGTTTCCCTGTAGAAAGTGACTTGTTGATTTGTTCCACTAACCAATCAAACAAAGAAGAATATATCGATTTTGCCAATGTTGTCATCATTTGCCTATTGACATGTGATGAAATTACAAATCTGTTGTAGAAAAATGTAAAAATTGAGTTTATAATGCAAGAGAGACTTTACCTCTGTGATATGTATCCTTCCATGTAAACTAGAGCCAAATTTCAGTTTAAGTTCAAGAGTAATCTTTCAGCTGTTAAAGAATCTGGAAGAGACATGATAGATGCAATCACCCTACAAAAAAAAGAATATATTTATCATAAATCAAAAAGTATAACCTTATTAAAAAGTCAAAAAAATCTTTCATTTTGATCTTTTTACCTTTGTCCACTGACAAATTGTTTTGGTTGGAATGCTTGGGTGTTGTAGTCACTTACAGATGCATATCCCAATGCAAACTTAGCATCTGGAATAGATAAAACCTGAGCCAAATATATACAAAAAAAAGGGTATTTGTGAAAATGAGATTTCTTAAATAGAGCTGAATAAAAATACTTGCCAAATAATTCTCCTTCACAATTTCCTCTACTGCATTTACAGTTTGATTCACTTCCAAATCCTTGTAAGCTGACTATTTGCGCATCTGAAAGACAAGAGGAAACCAAGGATTATAGAAAAAGAAGAGTAAAATTTACAAAAACGCCACTTAAGAATTAATAAGAATAAGAATAACCTTTTTGGGATTGAACCGCATTGACTTAAACCAGTTCTCGATCGAGACAATTCATTAAAACATTAAACAATAACCAATTAACTCAAAACCTCAATCAACGCAAACATATTCATAAAAAAGAAACAAAAATTATCAACGATCTAAGCATAGTATGTTCTTTAATGGAAGAATAACCTAAAAAAAATACGAACCTGAGACAGAGATTGGGCTGATTGACCATGGTCGATCTAGTAGCCACCAGCAACGCGGTTCTGAGTTTTCTTCTCGATCGCGACCATGACGATTTAGTACCCACCATTGCTCCCACATTGCAGGTTGGGGGAGGTTCATCATAGAGGGAAGGAAGAATGGGAGAAGGAGTTGTGGTCGGAGGTGCGTGGTGTGAGGGTCTACCCAACGGTGGATGGCCTTGCTCGGTCCACCAACAGTGTCTCAATCTCCGGTCGTCGAACAAGAACCAGGCGTACAGAGAAAGCTGACCAGAAGTTGGAGAGAAGATGTGGAGAAGTTATGGAAACAAGCGACGAAGATGCGAAGCTGTGGGAGGATCGTGCTGGAGATGCGAAATTGGAGAGCAGATGTGGAGAAGTGAAGCAATGGAGGTTTGAGAATCGAGAGAGAAGAAAGAAAGAAAGGGGGTTTTCGACAGGGACGAGCTAGGGTTTTCAGCCGGTGGAAACAAAGCGGGGTTTTTAATTTTTGGGATTTCATTTCCCCCCTTGAGATGCAACGTGCGTTTCATTAAAATTTATAAAGCGACATGGTTAGACGACACACATTTTATTTAAGGTGCCCTCCGTGTTTTTTTTTATTAGACACTAATTTTAGGGCACGCAAAAATGCGTGTCCTCTATGCATCATATTTTGGAAAACCGACATCAATTTTTAGGGCACGCACAAATGCGTGTCCTCTATCAGCGCGAGTCATTGATTACGCGTCGTAAAAGGCTGTTTTTCTAGTAGTGATTATCAAAGAATTTACGAAGAAATGTAATTTATTAATATTAAAACATTGGAATGTCATCGTCATTACATAAACATAAGCATAAACAGACCTTACATTCATTTACACTAATGATTTACCTCTCCTTTAATCTCTCGGTATAATGTATCTTCGCATCGATACCTGTGATTCAAATAAACCGAGTGGGTCATGTTGGGAAACCTGGTGAGTACATAGGGTTTTCAACCCACAATAATATAGTTAATTTGTTTCTTCACATACTTCATGTCAAACAATTAACCCGATTACCTATCCCCATTATCTTTATTTATTCTTCCCTAAAGATTTACCCTAAGGGTCATCTCCTACATCGTATTTACCTCTCATCGCATTTCCTTATATGTTAGTTCCTAAGGACTTTTCCTAAGGATCATCGCCTACATCGCATAGACAGTACTGATTCGGGGATTACTCCCCTAATACGTGTCCAGTAAGGGTTAGAGTATCATCGCATAAATACGTAGTTACTACATCGCATGAACTTGTAATTCATCACCTACAAGTTATGATCTTGTTGGTGTTTCCACATGACTTGTTTAGATTAGTCAGTGGTCGCCATCTATACTATAGTAGATGACTACATCGCAACATCGCAACATCGAAACATCACAGGTCAAGGTTATGGCATCTCATAATCATCTCTTATCTCGCATCACCTATTCATCATCGCATATCTATCATCACCTAGTTATCATCACCTGTCTATCATCACCTATCTCTCATCACTCATCTACCAATCTTTACCCAATATATTTATAGGTATAAAATACATATACAGTTTGAATCACGTAAAACATGTATAAATTGTTCTCTAGCATAGATATCAGGAACACAAATAATATGCACATATAGCATGTATTAATATTAAATACTTCATACCTATGTGTAAGATGAAAGTAACTATGCACTAACATTCGTCTTTTCCTTCGACGAAACCTAGCATTATTATCGGTAAGTTTTAGTCTAATATTTATTACGACTAATTATTAGTCTACATTCATCATTAACTCAATGTCTACTTTCATGATCTATCAAGTAAGGAACAACCAGGTAGGATCATATCGGAGGTAGGGTCCGTTTGGTATACGAAGTATACTGTTTGGAAATCCCACTTTAAACACCTCACTAAATCAAAACCTAGACATCATCCCCGTAAGTAGATCAATTAGAATAACGACTTGGAATCACTGATAAATCTTGTTTATAGGTTCATAATAACGATAATGAACTTAAACATAAGTTATACTTAAGGTAGGGTAAGCATAACTCACTTGCAAGGGGGTTTAGCGAGGAACCAGACTCAGCACGGGCAGAACTTCTGAGCCGAAAGCTCTTCTTCTCGAAGCCTTTTGGCACTCTGGGACTCGCCTCTAACACCTAAGAGGTGCTAGGGAAAAACCGTGAGGGTTTGGGGGTGTTTGGGAGAGAATTGGAGTAAATTGGTGTGAAAAAATGAGAAGAAACTAGCTCAATTTATAGGCTGGGAGAAGTTCGTACGCGGGGCGTACTAGAGCTGTACGATGGGCATACTCAGTATGTGGGGCGTACCAACAGTTACGCAGGGTGTACGCTGCCATGTGTCAGCATCCAGTGACAAGGCGTGGGGAGAAAGCAACGGTCAGGATTTAGCCACGTGTTACCTCCGAAGTTAATTAAGAAAATTAATTACTTTCTAAAATCCGTAACTTTGGCATACGAGCTCCATTTTTGACGTTATTTATATCCACGTGTAGGTACTGCCGTGATCGACAACTTTCGTTTAGACTCTGTAGGCTAATTTTGACATTATTTCTAAAGTTATATTTTAATAGTTTTATATAGTTAAAGTCCGTTAAAAATTCATAACTTTGTCATCCGACGTCCGTTTTCGTATGTATTTATACTGTTGAGCTCCTATTAACGAGATCTTCGATTCTCACTTAGGTTGCGTCGACTAAAAATTGATCGATCTAAAATTCGATTTCTGGGCTGCGCACTGCTATGCTAAATCTTAGAAAAAGCATAACTTCCTCATACGCAGTCAGATTTGGACGTTCTCTATATTCATGCTCTCGGTTTAACGTATACTACGACTTTCGTTTAGATCTCTAAGGCTAAAAAGTAGTTTATTAAACATTCACTTTTTACGTTACGCGACGTCGTGCCGGTTTAGTCATAAAACTTCGACGCGTGATAACTTCTTCTTATAAGTCGGATTTCAGCTTTCTTTAGATGCACGGAATCCTTGTGACATATACTATAACTTGGTTAAGATTATTTACTATAAATAATCTTCTATCAAAAAGTCGTTTTTTTATGCTTATTGCCTCTAAATTGACTAGCCCGAATCTGCGGGCGTTACAATTATCTCCCCCTTAGGATGATTACGTCCCAGAATCATCAACGAAACATGGATTGTATAATGACTCCATACATTATCTTTTCATCCTAGGTAATAACCATAACTCTTATGTCTTTACTAATGAGTTTCTAACTCTTGGACTTCTTGACTGTTGGCGGTGCTCAATCTTGCACCCACTCTTTATCCTATGTTGGTCTTTCAATCATAACCTTCGAGTTACAAAGTCGATCCTTATTGGAGACTCCTGCTCCTTCTTAAACAGACTTAACTTAAGATGAGTTCTTTACTTTGATTATCGTAACAGACTGATGGGTCATGTTCTAATGACCTCTCATCGTATGATGCGACTTTTAGATTCAGATCTTTTTGATTCAGATTCCATATTGGAAGATACCTCCTTCATGTTCTAATGTGATATAATCACATTCTAGCTACAAGCTTCTTACTTTAACGACGGTCGCGATACTTCTATTGATCGCGTCGATTATCTTTTACATCAATCTTCTGGCTTAAGTCAGATGCTACATCGAACTTGGTTCTCTGAACCACGTAACATACTCATCTTAGTCGGACTCGATTTGATATGACCACTAGGGTAGGAATAATAATCATCTTCTTAGTCATTTTTTGAAACGATGATAACGACAGATATGAACAAAACAGAATCAATTACTAGTGCCTTGTTAACCTTGTAACTTTCCCTGATCCAAGTGCGAGTCTTGTGCTTACGGTAGTATAGGCCTCTACTAACTTTCACACATACTCATACTCATCCCAAGTATTGTCTCTCAGTTCTCCAACTCACCACACAAGAATTTTCACATAGTCATTTAACACATCGGATAACATAACTAAGGTTTATATTATTTCTTGTAATGATTACATAATATTCAAGTTCACCCTACACTATGCCTATTATATTAGGCTATACCACATGAAACTATTTATGTGGCTACGTTATAGATCCATACTTACTCATATTTCCTTGCGTTGTCACCTGCTTCATCAAGGATTATCTGAAATGCTCTTGCCTTTGGCTTCGGCGACACATTTTGCCTTGCAACTTCATTTTTATTTGGGCAGTTCCTCTAAATATACCCACCATCTCCACATTCGTAACACTTCTTGTTGTCAAATGTACAATCTCTGGAATAGTGACCGGTCCTACCACACTTATAGAAAGTCACTTCTCCATCACATCTTCCGAAGTGCTTATTCTTGCACTTCTCCCACCATTTGGTTCCACCACTACCGCTATACATTTGGTCGTCCAGGTTGGGCTTAGTGAATCTTCCTTTCTTATCAGATCTTGAGGATACCTCAATCTTCCTTTTCTCGCCAACTTCAACCTTATTGCTGGTTCTGTCTTCGACCATTTCTTCAACAGACTTAGCAGCCCAGATGGCCGCCTCAAGAGTAGGTGCCTGGCCTACTGGCATAGTGTACTCCCATGGTAGTCCCTTTGTATACTTATCGATTTTTGTTAGCTCGTCAGGGACGATGCGCAAAGCAAACTCCATCTTGTCTGTGAAGGAGTTGGTATACTCAATAATAGACATTTTACCCTTTTTCAGTGTCAGGAACTGGTTCTCCAGCTCTAGCATGTTTTGGGCTGAGTAGAACTTGCGTTTAAATTGTACCAAGAATTCTTCCCATGTCAGTTGTAGTGGCTCATTGGGGCTTATGATCTTTCCCAAAGTGTTCCACCAATAAACAGCCCCACACAACATAAGTGGTTTGTAAATTGCCCTTGCAACCACATGTTATGAAAGCTAGCTCTATTTCGGAGATCCAGTCCATAACTCCGATTGGACCTTCTTTCCTAGTAAAAGTTGATGGTTTTCAAGTTGTGAAGTCTTTATACTTGCATCCATTCCTTTCAATTCCTTCATATTAGTAATTTCTTCTAACCACTGACGGTTCAGCTTGACTAACGGTTCTATTGTAATCCCCTTCTTCTGACTGTTCAATGTTTAATTCAGGCTACACAATAGGCATGGTAGGTTCATCCCTATTCTGTTGTAGTGGACGCCTTGTCTCTTCCATCCGACGATCCAACATCATTTGTATCATTTCTTGTACTCCTGCCATCGTGATTGGCTGGGGCACAACTGCTACTTTTGGTGCATGCTCAATCACTTGTGGCTCAGACTGGTGGTTTCTATTAGCATTTCCATTAACGTTTCCTAATCCGCTTCGAGTTCTCACCATGTCGATCTATATGCCAAATTAGACGTTCGGTGTGTAGTGAAGAGAATTAAGATAGGGAAATCTTTATTTACCACAGACATATAAATCTCCTTATCACTCTGAAAA